AGCACCGGGCGGGGGTGGAATATTGTGCCATCCACCTGTGAAAGGAGGTCCCTCCTGATGGGAATCCCCGATGGAGAGCCGTCGAGAAGGGAAATCAGGTCCGAGAACCATACTCGGCCCGGCCAGAATGGGGCTACAGCAGACGGACCCCGTTCCGGCACACTCTCTCCAGAAATCCCGGGAGCAGAGCGATCGGGGGAAAAGCGTACAGACGAAGCATCATCCACGTCTGTACCATGGCATCCAGCCCCCGTAGAGCTGGATGAGTAAGAGAGTACCAGAGGGGACAATGCGATGTCTCTCGAGTCGCGATCAGGTCCACCTGAGTCTGGCTAAAAACTCTTCGTACCCCGGGCCTCGGCCCCTGCCTCGACAGGATGTCTGCTCCCATAATGAGAAGCCCAGGAATGTGAACTGCTCTCAGCGAGAATATAAGAGATCGCCGCTGTGTCGTCGGTGTGCACCTCTTAGGTCTGGGCGACCTCTTAGGTCTAGGAGAAAGTGTTTCAATGCTAGAAACACGGCCAGCATCTCCAGGCAGTTGAAGTGCCACGTGAGATGGCAGCCACTCCACAGACCGCGGGCTGAGCGACCACTCATGACCGCTCCTTAACTGGTGAGGGATGCGTCCATCGCTAGCATTACGCGGCGACAAGGAGCTCCCAGCACCGAGCCCTGAGCCAAGAACCAAGGTTTCACCGCGGGAAACGCTAGTGAAGGCTCCCTCCTCAAAGAGAGCCTTCTGAGAGCGAAGCAAGGCAGTAACAAAACGCTTGCAGTGCGGGCAGTCGGCTCCCTCGAGAGCTGACTCTGCGTGCTTTGCTCCCAAGCAGACATAACACAAACTGTGTGTGTCCCCACCTGAATTTAGCACAGGCAGGGAGGAACACACAGCCTGAATGCTGCCTGCTCTCGCCCAAAAGCTTCTCTTGACTGAAGCTTTGACATAATGGAGCTTATACAACACTAACACAACACATAAGTGGACAGACAACACTAAATAAGACTCACAAACAGTTAGCGAGTGACACACACACAGAGCGCTTGCTGAATGACAGAAAGCTGACGCCAGTTCCACCGCACATGCTTTTAAGCTTCCTGGTCGTTACGTCACCCCGCCCGTGACGTCTTGCCCGTCCATTGGACTGATTACACATGTGATTCAGAGCGGGGTCACGCTGAAGGCATTCCCTGTAGCGTTTCGACGCAGCTCGAGTTCCTGAAGGGGAATTTGACATTTTGTTCGTTCAGAGAATATCAGAAATAACGTTTTCATAACTTAATAGGTACATTAGCAAAACATCCTTAGAACTTATTTTTGTTAGCTGGATGGCTAGCACACACTAAGTTTTCATTAGCAAAAAAACATTTAAAAATTCTCACATTACAGAACATTAAACACTAACATGTATTCTTCTTTTCAAATACTGCACAAAAACATAAAACTTATTTTCAACATTTACTTTCTGGATCCTGTTTCATGCAAAGCATTCTGTGAACTGTCTGGTTTAAATGAATGCAACTAAATTAATTATTGTAGTTGCAACATATTCGGTTTGATTGAAAGCAACAAAACTGTCAAAATGCTAAGTCACATTTTCTCATTTTAATTAAACAAGCAGCAGACATAATTTTTTGAGGTGTATAATATGCACTCGAAAATGCCTCCCTACAAGGTTTTATATTCCTCTTTAAAATATGCAGGATTCTTTCAGATTCTTGGCTTTTATGATGCCAGAGATCTGACTCAAGTGAATTTTAATGGAAATGCAAAAAATCGATTCCAGCTTTTATTGCAGATTTTTTTAGATGTCTATGCAAAGATCTGACAGCCTGTGACAAAATATCTTACACCGCCTGCTTTGCTCTTTATTAGTGGTCGGATCATCCATTCTGTTTGATAATCATTCACTGGCATTGAATAAAAACTTAGTGTGTTGTTGGGCAAAGAGAGGTCTATACAATATATGCAAAAGACAAACCCAAGCCACCATGATTACACAATATCATCACTCTGATTTCTGTATTTTGATGCAGGATGGATGTTTGAGAGTTACACAAACCAACTAAAACTGTCAAAGAATTAACCAAATACTTACTGTGCTGTTGTTTTTCCACCAAAAGGATGTCACTTCCTGGAAGATGATGTCATTAAGGAGCAGGTTTTTGTTGGTTAAAGAGATTTAACAAGATGGGTGAGGTGAAAATCTATATTGAAGGCACAGTAAAATAATTCAGTAATTATAAAAAAATCATAAATTAAAAATAAATAAAAAATGATTAATAAATAGATCAAATTAATTAAAAATAAATCACTCATTTGTTCAACTTGTAATATGATGATAACTCATGCATTCTTAAAAATGCGAGTTTTTTTTTTTCCTTACCCAACATATGTATGTATCATAAATCGCACGGGTAAATTTGTAGCAATAGCCAAAAAAACATTGTATGGGTCAAAATGATCGATTTTTCTTTTATGCCAAAAATCATTAGGATATTAAGTAAAGATCATGTTCTATGAAGATCTTTTGTAAATTTCCTACCGTAAATATATCAAAACTTCAATTTTGATTAGTAATATGCATGGCTAAGGACTTAATTTGGACAACTTTAAAGGCGATTTTCTCAATATTTTGATTTTTTTGCACCCTCAGATTCCAGATTTTCAAATAGTTGTATCTCGGCCATAAATTGTCCTATCCTAACAAATCATACATCAATGGAAAGCTTATTTATTCAGCTTTCATTTGATGCATTGATCTTAATTTTGAAAAATTGACACTTAAGATTGGTTTTGTGGTGCAGGGTCACATATAAGGACATATATGATGCAGACTTGAAAATGTCCTAGTAGGAATGATGCTGGCTAATCTTTTCCCACTGTTCTGAGGTCAGGATTTAAACCAATAACCACTGACACATTACTGAGAGGTTCACACTCATTAATTATAGGTCATCAGATTATCGGGACAGAAAGAGTGAAGGAATCTTGTACTGCATGTATTTCTGCCAAGAGCTCTACAGCCAGAGGAGGAACTCTGTGAGATGTTTTAGCTTGATACATGACAAAAACATTTCCACTCAAATCTACCAGCAGATCTCACCAGCATGTAGAGTTCAGTGGAAGTGTCTTCGTCAGCCTCAGGCCAGTATTGAACTTAATTTAGCTGGAGTGGATGAGTGAAGTTGGCTGCGCTCACCTGTGTTCCACCACAGAGCTTCTCTGACAAACACAAGAACTGCTTTTTGAAGTACAGAGCTTAACATCTTCAAAGGAGAAAAAAGCTAAAGTGGCAACTTTAAAAGTGCCTGTGCCAAGTTTAATGTGCCATTTCAAAACTGAAAGATCAAATAAACATTTATACCATCAGTCCTCATTTAATAATATTTGAAATAAATGGAAATCTTAACAGGGTGCACCTCCTTTCTGTGGCTGCTTTTAAATGTCATTTTATTGCATTTGTTTAATTTGAAGTGTACCCATTTCTTTAGCTTTTATGAGACAATATTTGCCTCAATGGGTCTAATAGTAATGCCTGCGGCACTGGATGCAGATCTGCGGTTCCCAGCTACTTTAAAACTAGCTTCTCGAGCCATAAACTGCTCATATAAATGAGTTAAAGAACAGCTCTTTTGAAAAAGTATATACTCTACAAGCTAATTACAAATCTCCTTGCATTGAAGCTGCTTAAGAGGGAAATATTATTTATAATTATATCAGTGAGGGGTTTTGAATGAATGAACCCAAATATGGTGACATCATCAAACTTTAACAGTTAAATTTATACTAAATAAAACAACAAAAATTGTAATATAATTTCAATAAATTGAGACAATCAAAAAAGACCTGCTACTCCGTGACTCAAATCAGTGAATCTTTTTGAAAGCTGTTAATTTACAAGAATCGTCTGAACAAATCAATTCACTGGACTTTTCAAAAGCTAAATATAAGAGAGAAAACCATTTGAGATGAACCAATTCACTAGAATGAACATAACTTTACAAAGATTATTTATTTAGGTAATTAAAATGTTGTGGGAACATCCAGTTTCCTTGCTGTGGTTATAACTTTATTTAATTTAAAAGATGTTTCTTACAGCGTTCTACTCATTTTAGTTTTCCCAAAATGTAATGTTATTTGAAGGTTTTTTTTAATATTCTAAGAATGTTAAAATGTCCATGATTATATTGTTATTTAAAGGTTACAATAATATTTCTTAGAAAGTTCAAGTACAAATAACATAACAAGAATGTCAATCTCAGAATGTTTTCTCTCAACGTTATGAGTAGGTATATCAAATATTACTAAAGTTATAAGATCGTTCCATAAACATTACTTTGAGATTTTTTTTACTTTGAGAGTTTTGTCCTAACATTTATGTAACTTCAAAAGAAAAAAAAAAAAAAAGAAAAAAACTTTTCCCGTTATATCTGGGTTAACAGAAATACTGATCGTGACTCTGGAGAGCGGAGTGGATCTGTTTACAGGCACGAAATAAAATATTTTATCTTGTAGGTATTCATGAATATAAACTTCATAAGCTAAAGAAACACAACAAATATGATTATTTAAGGTTCGTTTTATTTCACACCTTTAGTACGTAAAATTCCTCACCTCAGACTATTTTGTAACTGCAAAATAATGAAAGCATCCATCTGTGATTGAACACTCCATGATCAAAAGACAAATAAACAGCACCTGACACAGTTTTTTGTGTAATAAAATATTTTATAGAGCTTTTAATGGATTCTGAAATTAAGCATTCACAAATAATGAAATGACACACTCCTTAAATTCAATTTCTCCCCAATTTCTCTGCCTTAAATATCGCCGCGCATGTGTAGTTATTAGATCTACATAAAGGCGTTAAGCACGTGGAATAATTGATTCATTGAAAGATTTTCATAGTATAAAAGCTGGTGTTTTGACCCTCATTGTTCCAAAATGATGAATCGGTAATCTTGCTTCCATTTCTTACCTGTAATTCCTCTTTCATCTCTCTCTCTTTAATGTGTCCTTAACGTCCCGTCTCCTGCTGTCACTGTGCATCAATCACTGTCTGCTGTGATGTTCATCCCTTTTCAGGTAGTAAGTATTGGCTCAAAAGGTACATGAACCATCAAAAAGCCCCTTCTCCCCTCCGTTCTCAGTTTTTGAGACATAAATTATCACCATGAACTATAAATCTGGAAAATCAAAGCAGAATAAATAGATGCAGTCCAACGACAAAAATAAACACTCAAAATGATTGACAGCTCGAGAGCTTTCCTGATTGGTCAACAATCAGAAACACTCAACTTGTAATTCCATAAGAAATCACTTATGTCACTTTCAAGGAACAGATCAATGAAAATAGGACATAATGACAGAATTTTGATTTTGGGTGAATTATTATTCAAAACACATTTTTGAGACTGAAGGACATTTTAAATTCTTTCCATGGACTATAAATCTGAAATATCAACTCGAACAGCCGTACATTAATCTTGATTCGCCTTGTGTGAAAATTACAGAAGATGTTTTTCAAAAAGACAATAAACAAAGGCTCCTCGTCAAGCGGATGATGTGCCTCTAAACAAGTTAAACCAGAGGACCGGAAGAGAAGAGGCTTAAAGGTGGTTGGAGAACCGTCTTTGTTGACTAATGATGTCACGTCCTGCTATCAAAGAGTTCACAGGAACCAGAAGCACTTCCTGCGGCTCTTCTTGACCGTCTGGAGGGCCTGTGGAGAGTCCTGCTGGCGCGGAGGAGGAAAGACCAGCTGAGGAGAGCTCTGCTCTGACTCCTGCTGCTCCGGGACCTTCCACGCTCGCGTCACCTGACCCTCCTGAAGCCGGAAGTCATGCTCCACACTGAAAGAGAGAGATGCTTACAGCTATTATTGTGGCAAAAAAAAAAATGCATCATACAGTGATGTGCTTTGAGAATGCATTGAAAGAATGCGGATTAAAATCTGATGTTGGCTTTGAACATTAGAATTTTTGTTCTCGGGTTAAGGATTTTACTACCAAAGGACCAAATTTACTAAACAGGGCAAATTAGCATGAGAGCACAATCCCATAAAAGCGCAGATGGGAGTGGAAAGCTCCAGGGCTGATTTACTGACCATACCCACATTAAATAAAACAGACACAGCCAGATCATTTTCATAACGACCAATGCAATCTACCAAGAGCAGCGCAAATTAGCGTCTGGTTTAAGACATGCTTTTTTTGGGCGGTAAATAGTGGCGCAAATACCAGTAAATTGACTAGTGCAAACCTTTGTAAATCATGCTGCATGATTCATTTCAATACTACCCCCCCCCCCCCATGAATTTTGCGTCTGAAAGGAAAACTTCTACAAATGCAAAAATTACTGTTCACGCCTTTATTTTTTCACTGCATATCTTTAGTAAATCCTAGTAGTTTTTCAATACCAAAGGAGGGTTTGTGCTGGCGCAAGCTGTTAGTAAATCTGGCCCTTAGACAAGGGCTCCCAAACTTTTTGTTGATTGAAACTCTTAGATGTGAAATATTTACATGCAAATACCCCCTGAGATTTTAAGTTAATATTTCAATAATTTAACGATACATTTGCATGTCCATTGTTCTCTGATGTCAGTTAATGGTCACATGGCATGCAAGTTAACCGATCAATTATCTAATATCTTATTGTTTTATTTTAATTGAATGCATTTTAAAATCAGACACACACACATTATATTTTCAAATGACATGTAAACTGATAAATTATCGAATCTTTTTTGTCTTTCAAGAATGCGTGACGAAATGCGAACCCACTGCCATGCTTCTGTGTCCTTGAAAAAAGTTATTTTTAAGGATGCTCACACTTGGGTTCACTCTTTATATGAACCAACTAACATTACAACTTACAATTTAAATATTTATCTTTTAAATTCTTCACTTTCAACCATTCAAACCCTCAAGCTTTTTAATTTTCGTGGAACACTGGTGAAATGCTGTAAACTTCTGTCCACAAAAATGTTGAAAATGATGCTAATGTGAATGTAAAGAAAGTGATTTACAGCACAAACGTATATGATCACAGAATTGTTTTGTGTGTGTGTGAACTAGCCTATTCCTTTAGAAATGTAGGGGGAAAAGCCTTCAACAGAAGACATCAAAATAGCTACAGCCTGCGGAAAAATAAAGGCGCATATACATGTATATGAAGGTTTGGCGTTGGCATTTTGTCGGCAGCTCAGAGCTGACAGCTGGGATTGTTGCTGATGATGCACTGGCCCAGATAGCTGGCAAACGCTGATGTGGACACGAAGCAACTTTCCCAGAGTACGGATGGAGTGCTGCTGAACAACACGGCCATAACTCTTCATGCTAAATGCGACTAATGAGATCATTGTTCCTCTTATATATATTTATATGCTCTCAATTTATTGCAGAGAGAGAGAATTACCTTCATCGAGTGCTACCTTAGTTCCTGTGCCAATGCACTCACACACTTCGCCTATGATATTCCCCCAAGAACGCCGATGTCAGACAGACAGGGAACACTATGTGCTTTCCGTAACAATACCACTTTTAAACCTCTTCAAAAAATCCCTCTACCAACCTCTTACCTTGCAGTCAGTCTCTCTGCATTGGCTTAAAGACCAAAGGCCGCATGTAGATGCTGTGCTCACCCAAAACGCACACACATCAGGATTTATAAGAAACAAATGTGAATTCAGAATGTTTGCACACTCTTTTGGTTTAGCAGTTTAATGAAGATAATCACTAGTCAAAAGAAATGCTAAATAATTCATATCGCACTGTACAAACTCAAAGATTCACATTTAATTCAGTGCTACGTGCCATTCCTTGTAATTGTTTGTTAAATTTACTAGAAATTTCGAAGTGAAAATTGTTTCAACACCTTTTTTTTTAAGTTGTAGATAAAACTTTGGAGATTATTGGATTATGTTTTACAAGAAAAATCGATTTCAGTTTTTATACTTCAAAATTTCACATTTAATTCAATGTGTCATTTGGTGTTTCTTGTAATTGTTAAATTTACAAGAAATTTCTGAGTAAAATTTTTTTTCAACCAACTTTTTTTCAGTGTATGAATTTGATAAAATACAAAATCATATTGCACTGCAAAAAATATATTTTGAAGTTGTAAATAAAATTATTGTAGTATGTTTTAAAAGAAAATTCAATTTCAGTTTTTCTGCTTCAAAAGTTCGTTAATTGTGGTACTTGTTATTTCTTTATAATTAATTGTAAACTTTACTAGCAATTTCTGAGTGAAAACTGTTTCTACCTTTTCTCAATTAAATTTTGAAAATATAATTTGAATATTTCACACGCCATTTTGTTTTGTATGATTGCAATATAACAAAACAAAAAGTAGATCTTGAAGAAAGGATCTTTTATCTTTTAAAATAGGATGAAATGTTCCTTTAGGACATCAAATAAATTGAATGTAGCAATATATTGTTTCAATACAATACAAGCAGAGTTAAAAGATACTCAATATTCAAAAGAATATTTTTTTTCCAGTCTTATGTCATTCTTAAAATATTCTTATTTGATTGGTTCCAAATTATGATAAAAAATTCCAGCTGTCCTGTTGACATGCCATCAGGAGTTTCTAGGTTAGGGACACTTCAAAAAGCACAAAATTCATCTGTCATATTCAAAAGGCAATTCTACAGCTACAGTTGTTGCTGGTTTTACAAATGAAATCGACTGCATGAGTTTGCTTTCATGCACAGAGAGCACTTTCATTTCACCATGTGGATGGAATTAATTTGGTCCTCAATTTTTTAGTGAAAGGTAACTTGGGTACCACTCAGAAACGGGATGTTTACAGCAATGTGACAGAGCAAGAGAACGACAGAAACAAATACTGCTGAATACGGTGGGAGCTTGATGGTTGTACTACTTATATTTAGTAATATTTTATGCAATCGTGCCATCCAGAACAATTCCAAAAACACAACAATACTCTCCGCTTTCATTTTAAAGCTTTGTTTTGAGTCTCAGGTGATGTTGCTTCAGCATTCATGAACAGAAAACAGCTTAAAACTCGCTGATTAGTACTCGTTTTGATAGACTTTAAGACTGATTTAAACACCTGCGATTCAGTATTGTATGCATGAGCACAACAGACACTTCTGTGACTGGTTACAAAAAAAAAAAATGTAAATAGAAACAGGAGTAGATCTAATCAACACTTTTAATAGGAGCTGTAATCATGAGTTTGTTTTTGATTAATTGTGTTTTAACTTGTGCTGCGTGTTTTAACTTGTGCTGCTTTGTTTCAGTGAGACTAGTTTGAATTTAAGGAGATTTATAGAATGCACAGTTCATCTTTCTTAATGGTGGTAGTGAAATGGTTTATGTCTGTCTGTCATACGCAAATAAATAGCACTTTATTTTCTATAAATCAACTAGTTACTTCATTTCATATTGAGAAATTGGGTTCTTCATGAATGTGTTTCTTTCACAGTTGTGCAATGAATTATCAGTGTTTTAAAGGTGGGGTAAGTGATTTCTGGTAGCCAATGTTGACATTTGAAATCACCAAAACAAACACACCCCTACCCCAAAAGGGTCTTGCCCCTATTTTGATAGCTTCGCCCCACAAATACGTACGCAACCCAGGCAAAGATTAGTTCTGTGAAACAAAGCAAAACCAATGTTACACCGTGTCTACACCGGACGTAAGTGACGCGGCGCGACAAAATACTATGGAACTCATTATAATCAGTGATGCGGTCTACACCATAGATATATATACAGATCTATGGTCTACACTGGATACGGCGTGGCACGACATGACAAATTCCTGACAGAAAACTGCTGCTGCGTTCTGTTCATGACGTACTGACACAAATTCCAAATTATTTTCAACGGTCGCTTTGTCGCGTCCAGTGTACTAGACAGACTTTAGCTGTTGCGGCTCCTTGCGTTCCCCCGCTCTGCACATTTTGTATGTTTCTCTTATTGAGTTTTCTAAAGCGTTTTTGAAAAATCGCTTACCCCACCTTTAAAACAAGGCCCCAGAAAAATCCCAGCTAACAGGGAATGTTCACAAAATGGTCTGGTAAGGTTCTCTCAAAGTTATGAACAAACGTTTGTCCAGTAACGCAAGCTATCTAGTCTATAATGTACTCAAAATATCAGCACAAAAATATTATTTATACATCCTTCATGGAACTTTTTTTTTATGTTTTAGTTGGACGTCCATCTCACATTTTTTAAATCTTACTAATCATTTCATAAAATTCAGAGAACATTCAAAAGTAACACTCCCATAATGTTTGCAAAATGACAAAATGAAACGTTCATGACACGTTCATTTTAAAATGTTTAAAAAACTGAATGTTTTGAATGTTCAAAGAACATCAGAAATAACATTTTCATAACTTAATGGGTACGTCGTTCAAAGTCTTTAATAATAATATTGTCAATATATGTATACATAATTCATGGAACTTTTTTGGGGAAATGTTTTAGAGAACATTCAACAATAACGTTCCCATAATGTTTGCAGAATGATAAAAAGGCAGGTTCCCTTAGCGTTCGTACAAACCGTTTTAAAACATTTAAAAAATAGGACATTATGAATGTCCAGAAAACCTTAGAAATAACATTTTCATAACTTCATGGGTATGTTAGTAGAACATTCTTCCAGTAACATTAATAGATTGTTATCTGGTCTTTAATAATGTTCTCAAAATAGTTTTTTTTTTTATTTTCAGAAATGTTTTAGTTGGATGTTCGTCTAACATTTTTTAAACGTTTCTACTAATTTCAGAATGTTCAGAGAACATTCAACATGTTCCATCAATGTTTGCAAAATTATAAAATGGAATGTTCCCTTAATGTTTGCATAACCAAGA